GATCACACTACTGCATACACATATACGGTGCTCCTGGGTGTGTCACCTGAGTGCTTATCCACCTCTGGGCACACTATTGCGCTCACCTTCAGGTTTGACCCAAATACTCAGGTCAAACTTTCCCTTTAACCCGGGAGGGTGTGTACTGGTACATTAATCATATTTGCTTTTCTGCCTCTGTTTTATCACCACCGTCAGCACTTAAAATCTCCATAACGCTCCACAGACATGTGAAAAAAATGTCCCTTTAACACTCCATATAGTGAAGTATAGCCAAAATACAACCGACTTTATTAAAAAAACTGATCAAAATACACTCACATTTAACAGTGTCCACCTGGGACATACAGGATCAAAGACTCACTATACAGTATCATTGTTGAATAAAAGTGCATAGATACACCTTATCCAAAATGGCGGCACGTGCACTTGCACCGGTTTATGGCTTGACGTCATCGGCGTACCCTACGCGTTACGTCTTGTCACATGAAGTCATGTGATGTAAAAGATTGCAAAAAAACCGACTAATTAATACTCTAGGGCCTCTACTTTAAAAAATATATAATGCTAGGTGGTTCTAAGTAGTTTTATAGAAAAAAAAAAAAAAAAAAGATTGTGTCCTGTGAAAAAAAAAAAAGACAGAAAAAGCCTGGTCCTTAAGTGGTTACCCCACAGTGGACAATAAACTTGGCTACGGGCCATTGGGGGCACAATCTGTTTAGTAATACCTTGCCTCACTCAGCAAAAAAAAAATTCTAAGTGGAGAGACTCTTTAAAACAGTTGTTTTCAGAGCACGTTTTGTTCCAGTTTAAAATACTTTAATTATCAGGAGGCTTCGCTGTCATAAAGATGGAACGAATCATGTTTCAGCAAAAATGTGATTTATGGAAAAAGTAAATTTCTTTTAAAGCAAATGCCAATCACTGTCTGACAGATGAAGTCCCTGTGGAGCAAAGAGAACAAACGAGAACTTTATGAAGTTGTATTGAGCTGTGGAAGGACTGACAGAAACCTCTCACAGGCAGCACAGACAACATCTAATTAATAGGCTACAACTAATGGGTGAAGACCACATTGAAAAGAATCTCAGAGTGCCTGTACATGGGGAAGAAATTTCTACAATAGATAATTAATAATATGCATATATTTCATTACACTTGATCGGTGTGAATCATCAATTATTCAGTAACAAGTGACAAATGGTGACCCTTGTTACTTTTCCTTGTTTCCTTTTCCATACTCCTACATTGTTGATTTAGTGCTCCGCTGCACTTGACAGCTAGGTGGCAATGACCACATCCACAAATATTGTCAAATGATCTGGATTCCTGCTTTTAACTAAACAGTGTCTGCTGTTCTTTTAAGAAAATTGCATTTTCCTCTGTTCAGAAAGTTTGATACTCCTATTGAAGTTTTGTACAGCAAATGGAAAGGTATTCTGCCCAAAATGTAACTGATCAAAACGAGGATGGAGCAGTTCTGTGTGGGCCCTGTGGGCCAGGGTCAGCTCTGGTTTTTGTGTTTATACCATACATACACCATTTTTAGCACTCAATTTTTCTCTCTTTCTTATTCTTGCTAAAAGCGTAAACCATATTGAATAGTGGAAATGGCTACAGCATTTTCACATGGCTCTTAACAACATGTTCCTTATAGAGGCTCCGTCTCTACCGCTCTACCATTACCATAGACATATTTTTTTCACTAAGCAAATAACTTAAGAGCCAAATAAGAAAAGAAATATTTTTCTGTATTCATTTTCATAAAGGTATTCTTTCTTGTTCATGAAGAACTGAGCTTTCTGAATTATAAATAACAGTGAAAAGAAAAAAAAATAGATACAGAACAAAACAGTGTGGATTGCAAAACAAAAAAGAGCTAGAAAAGACCAAGACTTTATTTTCTCAGAGAATAGGTGCAGGAGCTCATACCCGCTAGAAAAATGCCACATCAAACGGTGGGTGTGGCTAAATTATGCTAACATTGGAGGGTCTTAAAGGGGCATGGTTAGATAAAATCAGAGCTTTATTATACAAGCTGTATACATGTTGCACAAATGCCGCAGTTCTTCTACCCAACAATATGCTTTCATTTCTGTGCCACAAGTGAGAGCCTAATAGATACCTACAACAATCAGCACAATTATTAAAAAATAGTAAATATAGTGCAGGACTCAGGTGTGTATAATGTACAAAGTGCAGGGCTCATGACTGTATACTGTCTAGAGAGCAGGGCTCAGGAGTATGTAATGCCCATGGTCCAGGGCTCAGGAAAATGTACCCCCATATACCTGGCTCAGAAGTAACGCAAAGAGTGCAGGGCTCAGAACTGAGTATCGCACAGGGCACAGGCCTCATAAATAGGTAACACAGGTCCATGAACAACCAAACATCCCCCAGTACAAAGCTCTCCCCTCTATTCCCCCTATTATTAACTATATATGGTGGGCACCCTGGGCATCACAGAATCATTTACACATTCAAACTTTACATGTTCAGCCATGCCCATATGACAGCAGAATTCCTGTCTTTTAATGTGAAAAGCTTAGATTATCATCTAAAAGAACAAAGATGTTCATATTTACTTAATTTGTCATCTTAAAGATGCTCCAGCTATACATATAAAAACTCCCTGCTTTTCACTTATGTATGCCTTCACAACTCATTCATTTCCATTTTCAGTTTGGCTACATATCTGAAATCTGTCTATATATTCAGGTATATACCCTACAACTATACTGATTCACCTAGTACATTGCACGTTTGAACATGTGCACGGGTTCCTGTAGGGTGTACCTGTGTTAGTTTGTAATGTACCCCTCCACCTGTATAACCAACCATGGTTTCTCTACTAATTTTCATGGCCATTAATCTTGTATGTCCCCCTTCCCCAGCTGTATGACTAACCCTACTGCTATTAGCTGCTCATTCCTGCTGCTGGGAATATCATGGTTCTCCCATCGTAAACTATTTAATACATGAGCCTGCCAGGATGGTTGCAAAATAGGTTGGTTAGGTAGGCCCTCACATTAAAATATTTTTTAACTGAAACACTTTTTTTTATGCAGTGCATTGTGTTAGTGCACACATTGATGCATGTTACATGTGTAGCCGGGTTCAGGCTACGTCATTCTGCAATTCAAGGACGTTTGATGCACAGAATTAGATTCCATTTCTTCTCCTCTAGTGTTCAGAGCACAGTAAACACATAATTTCCTGCTAACAGAGTGGGAAGTGTGTCTGGAAAGCAGAGGACCTTGGGACTTGTAGTCACACAGCCTAGTTGCACTGTATTCCTCAGTATTACCTAGACTACAAATACCAGAAGGAAGGAGACTAAAGGGGGTCCTGGGAGGAGATATATATTTCTCTGTTGGAGCCATGCTAGCTCTCTTGGTGCAAGCTCTCTTGGGCAGGGATTTGGAGACTGACAGAGGGGAGTGTGACTTTTCCCCAGGAGTTCCAAGCCATGGCTCCACCGTACAACAAGTGAACCCTGCTCAGCAGCTTAGTACCACACAACAGCGCGGGGCGACACTCAGCATTCCAGGGACCGTGGAACTGTTTGGAGATCGAACCGACTACTACTGGGCGTCTTGCACGCACATTTATCCACGGTTTGATCTGTTGTCAGGGGGCAATCGCATAGCATTCTGCACTGCCAAGAGTCTGATCTTCCGCAGTGGATTTCGGTTGTGACATCCCCCAGGGGTCTGATAAGTGGGTGTAAGCCCAACAATCCTCCCTGTTACCGTATAGCAGTGTTTCTCAACTCCAGTCCTCATGGACCCCCAACAGGTCATGTTTTCAGGATTTCCATTACAGGTGATTTGATCAGTTTCACTGCCTTAGTAATTACCACAGCTGTTTCATCTGAGGGAAATCCTGAAAACATGACCTGTTGGGGGTCCATGAGGACTGGAGTTGAGAAACACTGCCGTATAGACACTGCACGCAGACAACATTAACTCTCCCTTTCATCCAATTGGAAATTGCTTTTGGAAAGTACTATCTGGTCAGTTCCATCATCCGGTTTGTTGCTATTGCACAGTGATAAATCTGTGCCCCATCATAAGCAGGCTGGAATTGAGGAATAGACTCACCTTTAGGGCCCTTCTATTTAAAGGGACTCCATCTACAGGGTGGCCGCTGACTGTGTATTAGTACTGCTGATTTATTACTTGGTTATTTAAAGGAGAACTCCTACCCAGATTTAGTATATTGTGTTATTTTGCCTGCGGCATCAGGGCTTAGAGGGAGTTAACTAACCAAGGGTCTCCTCTTCCCCCTCTTGCTCCTGGGATCATAGACCTACTGGAGGTTTGTCAATTTTACAATAAGGTTTTCTGGTATTTCTGCCTCATTTTATATTGCTATATTTGGTTTAAGGCTAAGCATTGCCACGTGGGGAAATATTCACAGTTTATGATTTGTTTCTCTGCTGACCTAATCCTCGACAGTAAAGCACTATCTGGTAATCTTTTCATTGGTGTCCTTTACATTTGTGTTTGCAGTGACTGTATCTAACCAGGTGTGCCAGAGGGGTAGAAGTTGTTCTTGGGGTCGAAGCATAGAACAGGAGACCCAAAATATTCACACGGCTCCTGTGGGGGTAGCTCTACACATGCATTAGGGCAGCACATGCACATGCATTGTGGACTGCTTCTTTAGAAAGAATGCTGCATGTCCATTTTTTTCATCTATTTTTATGCATTTGAAGCCCATTAAAAATGGATGGACTGCCTTAATGCAAAGCATGCTAAATTGCAACAATGCACATAATGCAAAGCAAAGAATGACAAAGAGTAAATGGGCCTCCAAAGGAGGATTTACAGAGATTGTACAATGAGACTTTGTCCAATGTGCCTATTTAACTGCCTCCCGCCCACCATATAAGGAAATGACGGGCACAAGGCGGTTCTCTCATTCTGGGAGGACATTATATGACGTCCTCCCACTCTAACCGTGCATGCACGGCTCCGGGGGCACGCAGCGCGGCAATCAGTGGATCATCGATCAACGGAAAGAGCCGAAGATGTCGGCTCGGCCATGTGATCAGCTGTGTCCAATCACAGCTGATCACATGTAAATTAGGAAATGCCGGTTGTCGGCATGTCTCTCCTCTCGAGCTGTCACTCTGACAGCTCGAGAGGAGTGGAGAGCCAGTAATCGGCATCCCTCAGAGGGGACATGTACACTGACCATCAGGGCACTGGTGATCAGTGTGCCCTGATGATCAGTGTAGCCCCAGCAGTGCCACCTGTCAGTGTCAATCAATGCCAGCTGTCAGTGCTCATCAATGCCACATATCAGTGCCCATCTGAGCTGCCTTTCAGTGTCACCTATCAACGCCAGTCAGTGCCACCTATCAGTGCTGCCAATCAGTGCCAGTCAGTGCCACCTAACAGTGCCAGTCAGTGCCATCTATCAGTGCCATATATGAGTGCTGCCTTTCAGTGCCCATCAGTGATGCCTGTCAATGCCCATCAGTACCACCTACCAGTACTTCCTCATCTGTGCCCATCAGTGCCAACTATCAGTGCCCATCAGTGCAGCCTATCAGTGCCCATCACTGCAGCCTCATTACTGCACATCAGTGAAGAAGAAAAATCACTTATTTACACAATTTTATAACAAAAACTAAGAAAAACCTTTTTTTTTTTTCAAAATTTTCAGTTGTTTTTGGTTTGTTTAGCAAAAAAAATAAAAAACCCAGAGGTGATTAAATACCACCAAAACAAAGCTATATCGGTCTCAAAAAAATTATAAAAATTTCATATGGGTACAGTGTTGCATGACCGCGCAATTGCCATTCAAAGTGTGACAGCGCTGAAGCTGAAAATTGGCCTGGACAGGAAGGGGGTATAAGTGCCCTGTAGGCAAGTGGTTAAAGATGCTAACTGCTCTTGCCTGCTTCTGGAAGAAGCTTCCATAAATTTGAGTAGGAGGGTCAATAAATATGAATATTTATCAGAATGCAGCCAATCCCTAGGAAAGAGCACCAAGAAGGTGGCCAGGGAGATGGAAAATGTTTAGAAGGCCTGGTCAGAAGTATTTTATTCTCCTGGGGCTGCACATGTATGCAGATTTCAGTGCGTTTTCCAGTTTGCAGAAATGCACTACAGTTCATTTAACATGATTTCCTATGGATCTAGTTCTAGATCTGTGTGTTTGAGCTGGAGGGGAGTTTTGAAAGGGTCAGGGACTTTTTTCTTGCAGCAGATTGCATTTTGAGTGTATTAGACTGTAATGGAACCGCACAAAAAAATGTGTTACATTTTCTATGCGTTTTTTTTATGCATTTATGCAATTTGCATTAACAAAAATATTAATAGTGCCGCGCTCCTATTGCTATATATAATATAATATAAAATATAAAAACAATCTACTCTCTTCCAATAATTATATAAATTGAAACCTCAACAAAATCCATAGATCACTATACTTAGTGGGTGAAAGATATTATATAATCACTGTGACTAGTGAATCAAAAAAATCATTATAAAAAACCTTAATAAATAGGCAGATCTCAATCAAATCATAACTAATAAATTAAATAAAAATAGGAGTGTGTATAAATACTTGGTGCCACTCATCAATCCATCAATATTGTGCAAAAACATATATTGATATTAATGTGCAAGTACAAACTTAATAATACATAAATAAATAAAAAGTCTTTTGAAGTAAGTGCAATGTGCAGGTGAATTCCTTATTCCCTTTTGCCTCAGGTGCCTTGTGATCTCCCTATGCGCTCACCTTAATATTTGCCCAAATAAATTCAGGCAAATACGCTTTTAATCCTTAGATAGAGGCAGAGGAAAAGTTTTGCTTACTCACTGCTTATGCTGTCCTGGATCACCAGAGAACCTTATAATGCTGTGAACTACCACTATTGGCAGCAATAAAATTCTGCTACAAAAAAGGATAAGGCACCATGGTCTTTTTTCTTTGTTTCTTCATCTGATTTACATTCCCCACATTGGAGAAAGGAGGATATGAGAAAGAGGTGACCCCAGGAGGGGAACAAGGAGATCCCTAAAGAGCTGGTTTAAATACTCACCTATGAGCAGCAGCCTAAGGAGAGAGAGGAGAGTACAGGAGTATCCATAATAGATCTACACTTACCTCGTGGAAACATCCTATACATCAGCATTATTTCATCAACCCTGGAAGGATTAAAAGCGTATTTGCCTGAATTTATTTGGGCAAATATTAAGGTGAGCGCATAGGGAGATCACAAGGCACCTGAGGCAAAAGGGAATAAGGAATTCACCTGCACATTGCACTTACTTCAAAAGACTTTTTATTTATTTATGTATTATTAAGTTTGCACTTGCACATTAATATCAATATATGTTTTTGCACAATATTGATGGATTGATGAGTGGCACCAAGTATTTATACACACTCCTATTTTTATTTAATTTATTAGTTATGATTTGATTGAGATCTGCCTATTTATTAAGGTTTTTTATAATGATTTTTTTGATTCACTAGTCACAGTGATTATATAATATCTTTCACCCACTAAGTATAGTGATCTATGGATTTTGTTGAGGTTTCAATTTATATAATTATTGGAAGAGAGTAGATTGTTTTTATATTTATATTTATATTATATTATATATAGCAATAGGAGCGCGGCACTATTAATATTTTTGTTACTGTATTAACACTAGTAAGTGAGTCTGTGTGAGTGCCAGCGCACCAAGCGCATGACACTAGTAGAGAGTTATTTATTAATTATCTATTAATCACTGAAGACCTCATTTATAATAGCTCACAAGTATTTATTATTTATATGCAATTTGCATGTTGTGTTTTTTGTGAGTGTAAGCTGGTTGTTAAGGGCGCCGACAGCAGCCCGCTCCAAAACAACCAGTAAACAACATAGTTGTTAAGGAGCGTGCGGCTGATGGCATCCTCAACAACCAGTAAACAACATGTTGAGGGCATGTGGCCTAGTATGGTTCAGAAGGGGGGGCACTCGCTTGACTCTTTTGCTGACCTACTGGGCTGCATGCTCAGATAAGGGTCTGGTATGGATTTGGTGGGATACCTCAAGCCATGTTTTTTTTTTTTTTTTTAATTTTGGCATGGGATTCTCCTTAAAATCCACACTAGACCCAAAAGACCTGGTCAGAATTGGGGGGGGAGGCGATGCTGTTTTTTTCCTGTTTTATTTTTTTAATTGCCGGCAATAGGTTTCGTTATACTGAGCTGTCAGCAGGGAACCCCTCTGACAGCTGATGACTCATCGGTTGGTAAAGACAGGGTGGCCACCCGTTCCTTAACAACCTTGTTGTGTACTGTTTATTACAGACTCCGGTGGTTGCCCACTCCTTGACAACCAGCTAAAGTCACGCAAAATGCATAAAAAATGCAAAAAAACCCATCACAAACGAGTGTGAAAAAACGAGAAATGCACCCTGAAAATGCATAAAGCGCAATCTGCATATACTGTATGTCCTAAATTTACATACCAGGAAGTCATGAACATATCTATGGAACACACCAGGGCCTGAGGTAAGACCTTGTCTGAAAAAAAACATAAAAATCTTCTATTTTTCTGCAACAGGGGTACATTAATGGTATATTGATACATAGGGAAAGTGGAATTTAAAAACAAAAAAAAGAACTTAGCCTTTAAAGTTTGTCCTTAGGATACTTGTTGCTGACTTTTTTTTTTTTTGAGTAACCTGCACTTACATCCCTCTGTCTTGTTTGAATTTTGCAATGAATTCACAAAAAGAAATCCCCTAGATTGAGCCTGTGTTAGTTGGTATGCTGGGAACTGTGCCTGGGGTTGGCAGCCTTTGTACTGTTATGGGATACCCTGTCTATTTCCAGTGGCCCCTTCAGGGGAGAGCACTACATCACTATCCTGTGTGATCCACGAAGGGTGACAATCATTCAGCCAATAAGGAGCTTGGATTACAATTCAAGGTGTTTTGCCAGCACAAGGCTGTAGTAGTAGTTTATTTTGAACATGTAAAAAAAAAATAATTAATAAATAAAAGAAAAAAATAAAGTAGTCATACAGTAGACAGACACAATGAAAACTGATTACAAAAGAAAAATAAAACTGTAAATAAAATAATTTGATCTACACATTCAAAAAGAAGTGGGAAGAAGCACCAGCTTATTTAATCCCACCCCTTCTCCATAATTAATAATAATAAATTATGTAGCTTCCTATCAGTGTAAAGTTATACAATAATTAATAATTGTAATATAATCTTGTTATACAATTGTACATACTTACATACAGACACACTTTCACACATATATGTATATAATATAAAAACACAAAAAATAGCTCAATAGCAGACAGTAAACACACAGTAGTAATTCAGTCTTCATTCTTATACCTTGTAAAAATCATCTCTTTATAGCTCTGTTTCAAACTGGTTTATACTTGGACATTTCTTGAGCTCAACAAGAAACATATGTTACAAATGTTTAAAGGGGGAAAGATGGATAGCTCACTGCTCTGTTTCCTTTTTTCAAACAGTGTTGTCTCACATTGTGAGCGCACCTTTTCTAATCCAAAGCCCAAAGCAATAGCTGAGAGCTGCAGCAGCTCCATTTTTGGTCTTCTTTTACAAAGAATTTTATTATAGAATAGAAAACAGCAGAAAATTAGTCAGTAACATATGCAATGACCAGCAGAAATATAACATACAAAAGATTCGATGGATAATACAGAATATGTACTGATGAGAAAACATGAAAATAAACTGCGTACATAAGTGCCGTACAGAAAAAAAAAAAGACAATAAATTGCAAAAATGATAGACATTCAGAGACTAGTAGCATAATAAACTCTCAGGAAAAATTGTTGCAGAATCAACATACAGAATGCGAGATGAATAGGGGAAAGAGCCTCTCTGAGTACAGAGAAGTACTTAACACGCAGGGCTCTCAAAGGAGTCCAGCACATGGGTGCAGTATTGCTGGTACGGGACTCAAGACAGGAATCACAATCAGCACAAATAACCTGAAGAAGACAGACTAGACAAGAGGAAAGGAAGGAGCGAAGAGAAAGAGAGACAAACACACCAACAACAAAACAAAAAAAAAAAGGGGGGGGGGGCTCCAGGGGGACCACGGCAAAGAAAATAAAAAATATATAAAAAAAGTTGGTATATAGTTTTATATCGACAAGAGGGACTGGTCGAATCTTGACGGTTGAGCTATATCAAGCCAAGGACGCTATGTCTGTAAAAATTTTGAATGGGTGTCTAACAGTATAGCTGTCAACTTTTCGTTGACCATTATAAAGTTCATCCGGTTTTTGACAGCCTCGAAAACTGAGGAGGGGAGTCTTCCAAGCTCTCGCAATCGTCAGCTTGGTGGCCATGAATAAGTGCGATGCCAGCTGCCATTCAGGATGAAGTAGGTCCACTAATGGTTTAAATAACAGCGCTTCGTACGGGTTACGTTTAATGTCTGTGTGGAACATA